GCAGTTCTGTTCCATAGACGTTATGGTTCCCAACCAAGAGATGAGAGATGAGTAATTTGCTCAGGCTGGTAATTTAGTTTTGGTAGAGCTAGGACTTGAATCCTCGTGTGTCTGTGCTCACAGCCTGTGCCACTTTCTCTAGACTTCACTGCCTTTGTAGAAATCTCCCTGGTTTTCCAACCCCTCTGTCCTTCAGAAGCACCTTTGGGGAAGAGTTGCTCCAGTAGGCCTATAAACTGGAGCTATTCTGGAACCAGATGACATTTTGAGTTTTTCATCTCAAAACTTAGATTTTGGGGACTAGAAATCCTGGCTAGAGCATTTATGGTTTTCACTTCTCTGCAATGCACCATGAATTCCACCTATATATTCCCTTACCTCATCTTGCAACTGTTTCCTAAAAGTAATTAAAAAAATTTTTTTAATGTTTATTTATTTTTGAGACAGAGAGAGACAGAGCATGAATGGGGGAGGGTCAGAGAGAGAGAGGGAGACACAGAATCTGAAGCAGGCCCCAGGCTCTGAGCTATCAGCACAGAACTGGACGCAGGGCTCTAACTCACAGACCGTGAGATCATGACCTGAGCCGAAGTCAGAAGCTTAACTGACTGAGCCACACAGGCGCCCCCCTAAAAGTAATTTTTAAATGTAAATTTACTTTTAAATTGAGAGATAGATTTCCCAAGGGTAATTTTTCAACCCAGTAATCTTTTATTTATGCCTGAGAATAAAGTTACAATAATAGGCCCAAAAGTGCCTACAGAAAGTAGGTGAATTGGAGATCACTGAATAAATGTCTCTCAACCTCACCAACAAAGGATCTTCCAGAAAAGTCATGTTAGCAAAATATGGAACATTTATTTTTGCCAAACTCCAGGTTCTCAAGAAATAACCAGATGAGAGTCTCACACATAAACGTTTGTTTCCACAGCTATCTGAGAGGGAAAAAGAATCGAAATAGAATGAAAATGAAAACCACTTGAATTTCTAACCATGATTATAACTGTATTCATCCCAACATTTTTAAAGGTTTAAATATGTTTAGAAGAGTGGTTTCTTCTTAGCTCAGGATCAGGAGCTACAGCCCTCTTGGGAAAGGGCACTCTGTGGTGAGCGAGCTGGCAATGGCAGTGGAAGTGCCAGAAATATCAGTGGGAAGCTGATGATTCTGAAATTGCAGTGTGATTCTAAACCTGGGAGAATTTGTTTGCATTTGGAATGACTACAGCACCATGGAATGAAACCAGAAAGATCATTATTCATACTTCATACATTTATTTCTCTTTAGATTTGATCCAAAGGCTCTGAGAATTGTATTCTAAACTAGAGGCATCCAGTTAATGAAATCACAAGGACTGTAACAAGTAACAAAAATAGTTCATTTCTCTCAACTTGAGCTGGTGGGTCCATTCTCTTCTTAGGTAGGATAAGCATTCAGTGAAAACAGAATCAGTATATAAACAGGTTGAGTTTTACCGTAATCTCTCTGCTACAAAAGATTTGAACACATTGTTGGCCTTTAAATTAATAACTGATGTGGTGTCACTTAATATTCCATTTGTCTGTTACCAGCTTTTTTCTAATTAATTAAACAGCTTGGTTACTCAACTGACTCTTAAGAATGGCTGGTAGATTTCAACATAATATTTAGAGACTCATTTACAACTGTATGTCTGCTCACCTTTTCCTGCCTGACTTCATAGGAGATGTCTCCCTAGTCTAAGATCAACCATGTATCTATACTCTAAATATATACATTAAAATTAAATTTACCATTTGCCTCACCTCTTAAACTGTTGCTTCTGAATTTTCTATCTCAGTAAATGCTACCACCATGCATCAAATTTCTCAAGAAAGAACCTAGGGGTCATGAGAGACTCCTTCCCATTCCTATACCTCGGCTCCATCCAGACCACCAGTATCCAATCCATTTTACTAATTCACTATTTTTCTTGCATTTCCATTCCCCTCTGTCTCCTCTGCCACTACACCTCACCACTTCTAAGAATGTCCCAAATGATTTCCCTGCTACAACTTTTTATATCTCTACAATCCATTCTGTAATACCACTATCAAAATTATTTCTCTAAATGCAAATCTTAAAACCTTTTTAAGAAAGGTTCAAGATCCTTAGTATGGAACCAAGCTCTTTATGCTGTGGCCTTATAGGTCTCTCCAGCATCATTATGTACCATTCCTCAACAGCACAACAGCAACCCCCCTGCCTCCCACCCATGTTCCCATCCTAATAAGGACTTGCAGTTTTGCAAATGGACCATGTTCCCTTTCCCTCCTGTGCTTTTGCAGTGTGGTTCCCTCTACTGACCATTGTTTCCTTGTCCGCCCTCGACACTCTTAGCTCTTTAGGACAAGTTCATTCTCTAACAGCTCTGGGAAACAGTGAGGGAGCCCATGCTTTGGCTTTGAGTTCAGAGTCAATTACAGTGGTGCCTTCTCCTGTATTTCCACGGGACCCTGTACAAACTTCCATCAAGGCACTTGAGCATTTCAATTTTTGTTCTACGTGATTATCTCTTCTACTACGCTATAAAATCCTTGAGGGGAAGAGCTGGGTCTTTTACTTTTCTATCTCCAGGCCAAGCATGGTACCTGTTGCTTGCTAACTGTTCCATAAATTGCTATGGCATGAATTTTAATCCTTTTCCCACCACTTCTGGAAACTTTGCTCAAGCAGAGTTGTTTTTCTTCTTTCTTTTTGCATGTTAACAACCACGCCCCCCCAAAGTCTAATTCATCTTTAGAACAAACAACAAAACACTTTCTTTCAAATTTTTTTTTTCAACGTTTTTTTATTTATTTTTGGGACAGAGAGAGACAGAGCATGAATGAGGGAGGGGCAGAGAGAGAGGGAGACACAGAGTCGGAAACAGGCTCCAGGCTCCGAGCCATCAGCCCAGAGCCTGACGCGGGGCTCGAACTCCCGGACCGCGAGATCGTGACCTGGCTGAAGTCGGATGCTTAACCGACTGCGCCACCCAGGCGCCCCCAACACTTTCTGTATCTTAGCCCCAATTTGTTGAAAATAGAGTCCAATTATTGCTTTAAACTCCTAATCTCCTTTTGATTCTTTAACCCACTGAAATTTGACTTTTATGTCATTACTCCAATGAAATTATTCCTACCAATAATGCCAATTGCTTCCTGATTGTAAAGCTCATTCTTTATCTTAAGTGATTACTCTTCAGGATTTTACATTGTTAACCTTTCCCATTTCCTGAAAGCCTTATTTATTTGGCATTTGTGACGTTGTTTCCCCTGGTCTGTAACATCTCTGAACACTAACCAGCCAATCCAGTGTTCCTTTGTTTAAAAGTTAGGTATCCCAAAGAAGCCCTTATTAGTTCTTTTGTCTTATTCTTCCTGAGTAATTTCAGCAAATTCCACATCTTTGGTGACCATATATATATCCCATGAGGCAAAATCTTGACCCCCCAGAACTGTTTTCAATTTGTAATAACTTCTGTGACTCCCAATACCCTCAAACTTTACATGTTAAAATTCAATTGTTTCCTTTTTCAAACTTGGCCTCTTATGTATTTCCTGTCCCCATGAGTTATCAATAGAGTCAAGGTAGAATTAAGGGAATTGACTACTTACATTTTTTTCTAGGTTTCTGTAGTCCTCTTATATGCATTCCAAGTTAGCTTTTGTATTAATTATCTATAGTTATGGAACAAATTTCCACACACTTGGTCACTTAAAACAGCATATATTTATTATCTCAAAGTTCTCCTGGGTCATATGTCCAAGCATGGCTTACCCAGGTCCTCTGCTCAGGGTTTTGCAAAGCTGCAGTCAAGGTGTTGGCTGGGGCTGGGATCTTCTTCCAAGCTCATTGGTTGTTGGCAAAATCCATTCCCTTAAAGTTGTAGAATTCATTGCAGTTTGCTTATTCAAAGCCAGTGGAAGAGAGAGTCTCTGACTTGTTCACTCTTTTTTAAAGGGTTCATGTGATTAGATCATGCACACTTTTGTGCATATCCTTTTGACTGACTCAAAGTCAGTTGATTAAGAAACTTCTTCACCTTTGCCACGTAATGTACCATAGTCATGGGAGAGACTATCCTATTCTTTTTGCCATATTCTATTAGTTAGAAGCAAGTTATAAGTCAAGGGGAAGGGTCAGGGTATAGACCATTGGGAATCATCCTATAATTCTGCCTGCCACAGCTTAATTTTTTTTTTTAATATGAGCGATGGAAAAAACCATAAAATGTAATTTGGAGATATTAAACGACTGAATATAAAGAAGAAAAGTATAGAACTGTAACATCTCAAAACTTGATGGAAATGGCACATACTTTGAAGATGGTGAAAATGGTTTTCTGTGCTTGTTGTAGCTTACACTTACTGCCTTGGGCAATAGATATATCTAAGTACCTAAACTTTAGATCATGTTATGTGAACCTAAACAGAATAATCAGGTAAGTTGTTCGGAAAGACAGACATTTAATTACATAACTGTCTTCACTTGAGAACAATTTTACCATGTGTTAGCCTCATTTGCATTAGGAAAGAATAAACATAATTGTATGTCTATATTAAGTTATATGTTTGACTTTTCCTCATAGGGCTTTACTTTTCTTCTAATACTTTGACAGACTATAGTTTTCATCAGAGGTGCTTAATCTTTCCTTGGGATAAGTATTTCAGGTACCTTGTGAAGTTGTATTCTTACAACTTACAATGGCATATCTACAGGGGTTCCTAGATCCCTGACTCTCCCCTTTCTTCCATGTATCATCTGTAGCTCCTTTTCCTGAATGCATCATACAGATGTTCTGGAGTTAATGCAGGTGCCATTAGAATACTAAATGTATAAAAATCCTGCCACTTTTGGGTTCTGCTTCTTAGGGAAAACTGTTCCATTCAGTAAAAACACATTGTGACTTGGCTAATTTATCTCTTTTTTCTTGACATTGGCAGTGATAATGCAATGCCCATTGTATACAATCAGTGTGAGGTTGGCTTACAAATCCCTACAGATATGTGGTTACTTCTCTACTTTCCCTTTCTTTTGCTTGGGCAACAGCCACATTGATGCACTGGAGCCACTCTTCTGCATTCTTCTCATCCTTGGCCTTGAAAACATAGGTTTTATTGTCTGTGAAGATTTCAAAAGCCCGAGGGAGGGAGCGGTCCCTGCGTTTCCTGGCCACAACTTTCACACTCTGTACTTTGCTGAGTTCTATTGGGGAGTCATCAGGATCATCTTTCTGAAATGCATATGGGAAGGAAAGAACATGAGCTGGTTCCCACAGTATAAAAAGATCTTTGGCAACTGGAGAATTTTCCAAGAGGATTAGAAGCCTTTCACTGCATATAGTTGTTATATGCTTCGTTACTTTGAATGCTAAGGCCTCACAGAGTCATTAGACCAATGGAAGGAGTGAGCAATTGACCCTTTGTTACAGTATATTAAGTTGGGACAAGATGGCCAATTTGTAAGAAATTATTATACAGTGAGTTTTGGGAAATGTTTAATTCATATTTCTTAGATTTTATGTCATTTTTATTGATACCAACACTGTATCAATAGGGCAAAATGCAACAGTACAATAGAGTACTATTAAGTCAGCATTTGAGATACTTGGGGAAGCATGAAATTGAATTTTCCTGCGTGTTATCTCTGAGGAAGCGGTATTAATTGAAGAAACAGAGTTCTAATGTTTATGTAGATCAAACTGTTTTTGAAACACACTGGAGCTCTGGAAGCATGATTTGTCTATGAACATTAAACTGAAAGAATACTTAATGATTTACATGTTTCTTGAACCAAAGCAGGGGCTTAAAGATCACTGCAACACGAGGGTCATCACAACAGGCTAGTATGAATGGTTTCAAGAGATCAAATACTTCTTTACAGCAATTTCTTCAACATCCCTGAACGCATCTGTCTCCTAGAGCATGCGTCTCTTCTTGAGGATCTTGCCAATTCTCCTTTGCCACCTCCCCTAGGCAGTCACCCTTTTTTCATTCTTCAATGGAAAGGCAACCTTCTCACTCATCCCAAACTTACCATGGTGTATTGTCCAACTTGGAAAATCTCAGAAGAATCAAACAAATAAGAAAAGCAACTCAAAATATTGATCTCAGGGAAGTGTCCTTCAACCAAAGCAACATAATCACTCTCCAGCTATTTCATTAAGAGATGCATTTCCAATAGCATTTCACTCTTTAATGTTTAGTAACTATTTATTACATTTTGTATTACACTTTTGACTTTGCATAAGTGATATAATTTAAAAAATATTTTAAAAATCTTAGCATTGAGAGACTGGTAGTAATAAAAAATTAAAATAATTAAATTTCAATTTATACGTGTAGTTTTATTGTAGTGAAAAATGATTGGGTGATCAGGATAAATGCTGTGGGAGTAGAAAAAATATTATTTCAAAGAAAATGATATCATGTAACCATTTTGATTAAAGATGAACTAATTCATGTATTTTTTTAATGGACGGTGTTAGGTATCAAACTGCTATGGTATCTTAGCCCAGTGGTCATATTGAAAGGAGAGGTGTGATCTTTTTATCTTAAAATGATAATGTTTAGGGGTGCCTGGGTGGCTCAGTCAGTTAAGTGTCCAACTCATGATGGCTCAGGTCATGATCTCATGGTTCATGAGTTCAAGACCTGGATCAGGCTCTGCACTGTCAGTAGGATTCTCTCTCTCTCCCTCTCTCTCTGTCCCTCCCCCACTCTCGCTCTCTGTCTCAAAATAAGTAAATAAGCCTAAAAAAGAAAATTATAATATTTATAATTCAACAGAAATTACAGTTTGTGTGACTTTTTAAACTTATGATTGACTAAAAAAAATGCTACAAGGTATTACACAGATTTTTCAAAATTCTTTTAGGGAATAGACAGACTAAAGTTTGAAGATACGTGTATTACATAATACTTTGTTAGTTTACTTTGGTTTCTAGTAAATATCTGACAGCAATAAGATTATATTTCTTTGAATTAGTCTGTAGTATAGAAATTGATACATGGAGGAATTGATCAAGAGAACAAAAAGTTACCACAGTTCTCTAAAGGAGGACAGCGAAAATTACCCAAGAGAAATGGGCGGGAAGTCAAAGGGCACCTTGCCCGGCTGGTTGGTAGAGATCAAGACCTTAAGAATGGAAAAGTAAAAAAAAAAACACCATAGTCTTTCGATTCTTATTAAAAATGCACATTTTCCTCATTTACAAGAAAGGTCCTTTTTGATGGGGCAGAAGCTTCGGCTGGACTGGTGACCACTGCTAGGTTCCTGTGTCCCTGATGATGACAGGGAAGTTGCTGTGGTCTTTAGAGTACATTATATCACTTCCCAATATTTGAGCCACACGTTCTGTCAGATTTCTAAAATGTCAAGCCATTATTTCCCTCTAAAGATGTCAAACAAGTTAGCCAACTATAAGATAGCTTATTCACTAAGCTTTATTAAAAAGCTCTGAATCAAGAACTATAAAGGTGGTTATTTGAGTTCAGGAAAAACGTTCTTATGCACTAACTCTGCTCCGTCTCAAGGGATCTAAGAAATCACTGCATCTTGACTTCTAATTCTGATTACTTTAATAAAAACAGGAAATTCAGATGGTCATTTTAAACACTTTCAAGTACTTCAATATGGAGCAGTGCTAACAAAAAATTTCTTTAAACCGCCAATAAATAACTGTCTAAGTTGAGCACACCATTTACTTCCCTTTCAAAAAGATCTTCAGCCACAGAAAGGTCCATCTGTACATTTTGCAATACACACAGATGAAGAAAGCAGCACGAGCTTAGCGTAGGTATCACCAATTTTTTTTTCATTCAGAAAGTTAACTTCAAGTTTTATTGATTAAAAAAGCATTTGATCAAAATTTGTTGTAATTCAGATATACCATACTATATAGCTATTGAGTAAAAAGTTCAAATAAATTTTATAATGAGCATTCTAAAGACACAGTGCCTATGTTCTCATTGACTCATAATTTTACATAATTTAAAATCTTTCATCAATTAATTCAGAAACAGTTTGGTTTGCCACTGGCTCTGTATTTTAAGTGTTCATGGGAAGCAGGACGGTGCATTCATTTAACAACGTGCTTTGATGTCACACGGCCTGTGTCTGACTCCAGTTTTATCCCTTTCTGCCTTACTGGCTCTATCCTTGGTCAAGCCAGTCAGAGTCTCTGTCTCTCTGTCTCTTTCTATCTCTGTCTCTGTCTCTCTCACAAGGGGAAGGGAGTGAGGCAGGGTCTGATGTTACATGATGTTAAGGAACCATATGGTAGAACAAGTTTGAGATACACTAAACAAAATTAAGTGGGCCCTTTCCTGCAAGACTTGTCAGAGCCTTTAGCTCCTTTGTATTTCCCAGATGTCTTTGACCAGGACCAAAGACAACTCCTGGTAATAATTGACAGATCCTGGGTCCCAAAGGCCTTGAGTGGAGCACAATGGGTACAGAGGTGTGAGCAGGGTGCTGTATGTGTGTTCTCGGGGCATCTTTGCACAGGAGTGGATGGCCATGTGGGCATATGAACATGTTTTCTCCATCACTCTGATTCTGGGGCTCAAATAATACCTGTAAAAGTGGGACTGGACAAGAATCCAAAGGCCAGCGTCTTGCCCTTCCTGGCTTGTCTGGTAGCTAGATAAGACTGAAAGTGCCTCCACTGCCTGCTCAAGTCAGATTCCACAAGGCTATCTTGGCATTGAAATTAACCTGGTGCCTGCCCCTCCCAGGAAAGACACAGGCAAGTAAGGGTTCTCAGTTGTGGAAGCCGCTAGGTTGGCCCAGCCCAAAGGAACATGCTTCTACCCTCTGGCAGGGAGGGAAGGAGGGAGGACAAGGCACCCCAGATGCAGCATCCATAACATGGCAGTAACAATAGTTCTGACTTCAAAGGACTGTTCTGAGGATTCTTGAAGGCAATCCAGCATGGCATGTGATAAGCTATTATTACTAAATTCAAAATATCCAAGAAGTAGGTCAAGCTTTCTTTCTTCCTGATCCTGAATGAGTAGAATTTAACGATAAATAAAACTGATTTGAAAAGAAGAGGATAACTTTGCATTGTCTATTGGAATAGAATGCTACTTCAGAAGTTTCCCACTAGAAATTCAGAATACAGATATTTACTGAGCCTCCTAGTCTCAGGTTGAAAGTTGTATTACATGAATATTTATTAATTCTTTTAGAATCATATTCTATTCATTAACTGAATACTAAATACCTAAAATATGAACTTAGCTGACTACAAAAAGGACTTAAATAACTCAGCCTTTGTTTCTTTCTCCCAGCCTACTGTCCCCCTTCCTTGGGTCCCTGCCTCCAAATATAACCTTTAGTATAAATGAAATCAAGGTCCATATCATAAGACATTAATTTATGTAGCTGATCTATGAGGAAACAAAAGGCACACTGTTCAAGTCAAGCTCGCTGTGTAGTTCTTCTGCAGTTCATCTTTCTAAAACTTAAGTCAACAAAAAAGATCTACCATAATAAATTGAAGAGAGACAGTGAACCAACTAATGTAGGGCTGAACAGAATAGACAGTCCAAGGGGCATATGCAGTAAAATGATGCTGTAAAATTATAAATGGAAAAGGAAAAATTATTGGTGTTTTAACTCAAGACAAAATGCCTAGCTGCTTGGTGGAGAACAGGACCTTAAAAATGCAAGTGTAAAAGACAAGAGGGCAACTTACAGACTTTCCTTTTTGAAACAGAAGTTGATTTCCGGCCAGCGTAAAATAACGAGTTTTCCACCTTTTGATGAACTTCCATCTGACTTGCTTCTCTTTAAGTTTTCCTTCTATGAGAGGCTGGCCATCTTGGTTTACAACTGTTGAAGGTAAGAAAATGATCAAGCCTTTTATTTTCCATGATTTATTTGGCAAGTGATCAAAAGTCAGAATTGTACAATGAACCTGAACCCAGTAAGCATATTTGGAGAGTGTGCTAATAAATTATGAATTTGGTTAACCTTTTCCCCTTTGTCCCTAAAGGAATGCACAATTTAGATATGATAATGAGAAAGTGTTGAAAGACCTCACTGAGATTTTCAAAAGGAATATAGTTCACTAAAAGAGCATCTGGTTAGCAGTGGTTAGGGGGGATCCAGATATCCCGACATCCAGCCCGCTGTGCTTAACTCTTTTGTTTCATGATATTCTGTTCACATGAACTGCTTAGAAATGCAACTTTATAAACCAAGTATATTTAGTTATTTAACAGCAAAAGTCAAAGCAGTGCCCTCAAAGATGTTAGGTGAAGACATAACATTGCAAAGGCAAGCCCAACTCTTTTGAACATGATATTTCCACTCTCTGGCACACACACACTCCCTTTTCCACTCTGCATGTACCAATTGAACAACTAATTATTTCACGTATCAGCTCAAATGTCACTTCTTTTGGGAGACCTTCCCCAAACTTAGACCAGAGTGCATTCATCTGCCATATGTTCTGTAGCATCTGGCATGTTTCTTTCACATCAAGCATTACTGGTAGATAGTTATGGTGTTTATCTGATTCATGTCTGTCTTTCCCATTAAACTGAAAGCTCTGTGAGGGTAAGATCTTTGCTTTGTTCACTCATGTATCACCAGGCATCTAATACAGTGCCTGGCAGATATAGGGAATTTACTAATATTTGTTGAACGGAAAGGTTTATTTTATAGTGAAGTAGAATGCATATGATTGCACATCATCATAGAGTTAGATTTGTTACAATATCAGAAGTTATAATTTTCAACTAAAGAATTCCATTTCTTTTGCCAACTACATAAGATTCACTCTCCAAATTCATACGAAAGCATCTGATTTCTGGGGACTATGACAATACTTACTTATATATATATATATTATGTTCAATTTTCATAGCACTTTGAAAGTAATGAAATGTGTTCCTTCATTTGGAAATTTAGACAGTGCCTGTTTGACCATGCAAATAAAACCTAGCCTTCCTATCCTACCATTTCTGTTTTCTAGTAAAAGTCAAGTAACTACCTTAGATAAGGAGGATTTGTCCACCTTGACAGCATTTTCAGGATAAGAATGATGAAATATATGAAATACATAGTTTCCATAAACAAAATTCTACTAAGGCTAGTTTGGCCATGTTTCCTTCCTGTCTGATGATTCTTCAATTGGATGTTCCATTGTCAACCCCAAATTAAAAACTGAAAACATTATCAAATATATTGTTAGATAGTGACAGGGCTATGATGAAAATGAAGCAGGATTGGTGCACATGCACATATGTTAAGAAAGAACTTGGACATTCAAAGGGACCTTTATTCTGAGACGTCAGTGTTGAGAAGTGTCTCCCATCTCTAGAGCAACTTCATGGTGGCTAGTAATGTGCACAGCAGAGCATAGGGAAAGCAGGAACTCAAGCAGTATTGACAATAGATACAAGAAAATGATATCAGTGTTCTGTTTTGCTTTGCTAGAGATCATTTGATTTAGAGTATTCTTAAAGACAATAATGACCTTTGCATATTTAAATTTTCCACAAACAGTGTTTGCTTCCTTTGTGCAACCTCCACACTCTGCAGTTACTGCAAATGCTCTGTCTTCACTGTTCTGTACGTCCTAGAGAGTCAGAAAAGCCTCCCAGTGTGGGCCTGGACCAAAGATTCAGTGTTTACTCACAGCATGCTGCTGAGTCATGAAGGGGGCAGCAGCCTGTCTGACAGAAGGAACAGAAGGTCCAAGGGGAGATCCAAGAAGAAGAAAACAAACTCTAACAAACAATGAAAAACCCAGGCCAGAATTTACATTAAAATCTTTCCTAAACTAAAACATCCATTTCCTATGCTTTCACAGTAGAGAAAAATTGCTAACCTAATTATAACGTTCAAGGATTTTTGCATAAGAATTCAGAAGAGTTAGATTGGAGTCCTTTCAAATGCAGTTTTCTGATCAGCTCGATCCCACCTACTTTAAAAAAATGTTGAGATCACAATTCAAAATTAAGAAACTTATGTGAGGACACGAGGTAAGTAGCACTACTTTCTCCTCCATCTCCTGCTTTTATTGAAGCCTTTACCTCATAGTTTGTAATCACATTTCTTTCTTACTATGGTTTTAATGGCAAGATGACTTAATGTAACGCCTTCATAAGAGTACATTTTTCTAGTCTCCATCTTCCATGTTTACTCAAAGAAGCATTTGAAATAGTCATGATATTTGACCTGATTTGAAATCATGGTTGATTTAGGTAATATTCAAGCACATGAATCCTCCTGGATCTGACCTAGGGGATTAACTTCAAGTATTTCTCTTCAAGGCAGATCCAAATGTTGCACTTGAAGAGTATGTGACAAAAGTTTGCAAGAAGCACTTGGCAAACAGCTGAAGGAATTGTTTGAGACATGGAGTGGGTAGCATATCATACCCGCAGACCTACATAATGACCATATGACAATAACGATCATGAAAGACTCAAGACAAAATGAAAGGCTTACTTGGGCACAAAAGGATAGAGGACTATCAAGAAGTGCTACTAAGCAGAGACTTTTCATTGTAGCCCAGCCAAAACTACCTCAGGGAAAAAGTCCATGCAAAGGGTTGTAGGAAGGAAATGTCAGCAGAACTTTAAACAAGCTTCATGTTAGGGCCCAAATTTATGCATCAAAGTCAGCTTCAGATAATTTCATAAAATCCAGGCTATTTGTAGCTGTAGGATTAAGTTAATAATAGTTTCAAAAGGCAAAAAAAAAAAAAAAAAAAAGAAAAGAAAAGACTTAAAATGTTTTGCAGCTACTATCCCACATCTTAATTTTTGTTTTTGCAAGTATGTCTGGCATATGCACCAGAGGTCGTGTGTCATTTTACTAGGTCTATTGCCCATATCATGTCCTTGTAAGCAATAATTCTCATGATAACACTGTCTCTTCATGATCAAATCAGGGAATGAACTCTTTCAAAGGGTGTTTATATTCGATTTGAAAAATAACATGTGGAATATGACTATGAGAGAACAATCATGTATTCGAAACTCTCTTGTTTGCATGGAACACACACAGGATCATCTTCTTTCTTGCCAATTAATGCATTATTTCATTTAAAGCACCACAATGTGGCTAAGACATTATCTACCAACCTGGATTTTTTCTTTTTTTTTTTTTAATTTTTTAATGTTTATTTATTATTGAGAGACAGACACAGAGCATGAGCAAGGGAGGGGTAGAGAGAGGGGGAGACAGAATCTGAAGTAGGTTCCAGCCTCTGAGCTGTCAGCACAGAGCCCGACACGGGGCGCGAACTCCCAAACTGTGAGATCATGAACCGAGCCAAAGTCAGTTGCCTAACACACTGAGCCACCCAGGCACCCCGGATTTGTTCTTTTTTTTAAATGTCAGTGGCTGAATAGCTATGGAATATTAAACTGATTTCTCTTGTGCAACTGGAACCCAAACTGTTATTGTGTTTATCAACTTAAAAGTCTTTCTGAGGGTCAATATAAATGTTTATACATTAACTGTATTTCTTTTGTGCACCAAGAGTTGAAGATATTTATGTTGATAAAAAATGAATTTTGAAGATGCTAATCTTACTCAGCATGAAGTGGATGATTAAGAGTGAAGTAATGCCAGACAGATACCTTAAAGCTGAGAAGCCCTACAGCAGAAAGAGTAATGCAATAAAGAATACCTCTCTGTTTATCTATCAGCTATCCAGCCATCGCATACATACTTTTGTTCACAGATAAGTTGTAAAGTACTGTGTTTGGATCTGATGGAGTTACAAAGCTCAGCTCAGAGAGAGCTTGAATTTATCATCTTGTAGGTGGAGGTAAAGCATTTTACAAATTATAGAGTGCCACTGGAGAGGTAAAAATCAAGCACTACAATACTCAAAGTCAGGAAATTCTACTTGTGGCTGGGAGGAGGTGACCAGGCAGCTGGGTCTAGAGGGCAGAAAAGGACTGAGGTACAAGAAGGGTGTGTAAGGGAAAGCACATGAAAAGAAAAGAACCTAAAAATCTGGAAAGATCCATGAACACACGAGCAAATTCATAAAACTGTTGCTTTGGAAGAAAGCCATATGTGGAAGGCTGAGGGTGTGAAGGCAATTCAAGATTTTCTAGGTGTAAGATCCAGGAAAGAGATTGGGTATCAAACTGTCATGGTGAGGTCATATTGGACTTTAATTGAAGGTCCTTTTGAATATTTGTTAGAAAGGACTTTGCTTTTCTTAAGAACTAAGCAGGGGCCTAGAGCCTGTGTGGGTCCAGCCAGCATAGGCATGAGGCCTCCTGGGCCCCAGATGGGATCAGTTATATGTCAAGAAGAGTCTCAGCAGGAAATAGAGGACACCTCAAGCTGGGTAATTGAAGGACTTAATAAAGGGGGTATTTACACAGATGTGGGCAAGGTGTAGGAAAAGCACCATAGTACTCTGGGGCCAGGAACCATGGGGAGGCATAACACCCTCTGCATGAAGAGGAAAGGGGAGAGAACAGTTAGGACTTGGAGAGAAACTTATATGGAGAACACTGTTTGTCGTGAGCTGTGGCCTTGGGCACAGGACGGTCAGCCTGCAGCAACCAAGCAGAGGGGAATGTGGGAACAAATAACCCTACCTCACTCTGCTTCCTCCCTGTGATCATCTGCCTTTGTCCCTAGTGGTCAACTGTAACTGAAAGTCAGAGGTAGTGGAGACTGGAACACACTGGAGGGGTACCTCCTAACTGGGGCAGAGGAAGTAGGAAAGCTTCGTCTGGAATAAATGTGTCTGAGCTGAATTCTGAAGAACAAATAACAATAAGGAAAGTAAAGGAAGAAAAGATATCCTGAAAAAAACAAAAAGGCAAAGCTATATGCAAAAGGGCAAG